CCCGACCCGGCTCTGCCCCGGGATGTGAACTCAACAGCGACATTGCTGGTTTATGTAAGTTGGTCCCACTTTGGGGGGGTTTTGGATGAAAAATACTGTATGGCAGTGCTGAAAGGGCCTCTTGCGCTCCCTGCTCTTCTTCCTAAAACACCTATGAGTCTGTGTGATGCATTTTTTTTTCCCTCTAGACAATGAGTGACTGGGCCCCCATAGCAAAGGAGTATGACCCCCTCAAAGCCGGGAGCATTGATGGCACAGACGAAGAGCCCCACGACCGTGCCATATGGAGGGCTATGTTGGCGCGCTATGTACCCAACAAGGGAGTTACAGGCGATCCTCACCTTACCCTGTTCGTAGCGAGGCTCAATCTTCAGACAACAGAAGAGAAGTTAAAGGAGGTCTTTTCCCGGTACGGAGACATCAGAAAGATCCGTCTGGTTCGAGACCTGGTCACGGGATTTTCCAAGGGTTATGCATTCATTGAATACAAAGAGGAGCGTGCTCTCTTGAAGGCCCACAGAGACGCCAACAGGCTGGTTATTGATCAACATGAGATCTTTGTAGACTTTGAACTGGAAAGAACTCTCAAAGGATGGATTCCTCGGAGGCTTGGAGGTGGTTTTGGAGGCAAAAAAGAATCTGGGCAGCTACGGTTTGGAGGACGGGACAGACCTTTCCGAAAGCCCATCAATTTGCCAAACATGAAAAATGATTTCTATGGAGAAGGATCAGCAGAGAAAAGAAACTGGTCTCGTGAGGGAACAAGGGACTGGAGAACAAGGGACCGAGACCATGAAAGGAGCAGAGACAAGCGGTGGCCGGAAAGGGAGCGGTCGTGGACTTGGGGTGAAAATGAGAGGGAGAGGGACTCCAAAGAGGAGAGGAGCAGAGGGAGGGAGAGGAAGGACAGAGACAGGAAGGACAGGGATAGAGACCGGAGCAGGGAGAGAGATGCCAAGAAACAAAGAGAGGATGATAAGCATCGATAGGTGACAGTGCCTTGTCCTTGGGTGGGTTGTCTCCTCGTACATCCCCAGCGTTTCAGTTGCGGATGTTGCCTTCAGCTTGGGGCTGTGAGCAGCGCTCCCAGAGCAAGCTGTGCTGGTACTGCCTGGTGCCTGCTGGAGGCTCTCTGTAGTTTGGTTGCCAATGCAGTTATGATCCATGTTGAATTGTTCTTCAGAGAAAATAAACTTCCGTATTCCTATTTTTGAACTGGTGAATGCTGTAAGAAATGCACCACGTGTACGGGCATCCCACTGAAATTGAGTATCCATCTCGTTTGATACCCATCTGGCTGCCAGGATTAGGGTTCACGAGTGAGCTCCATGTTTAATGATGTGCCAGATGCGCGCACTCATTTAGCGAGACAGATGCTCTTCATGAAATAGTCACTTGTTGAAGAAATAGTAATGGAATAGCAACAAACTAAGCTTCTGAAAAACAGAAGCCGAAGGGGAGTGACTTAATCTTCTTGAAGACACTGGGACAAGGCGAGATCCTTAGTAGCCCTATGTCCGTAACTAGTGCTGTGAGGTGAGAGAGAAGCACGTAAGGAGAAATGCATCTTTTACATCACGGGAGGATGCAATTCCCTTTTACCGGGGGGATGTGCCCTACAGAGCAGTCAGGTCAGGAAACGCCTGATGTTCCTGGTCAATGCAGGCAGTCGCTGACGGACGGTGTCACGGTTAGATGTGGCTGCAGCTGCACCCACTGTCCTCTCCTCCTCCCTGCCAGTGGAGTCCTGCCAGCACAGGGTTTAAATCCTGTTCTGCAAACTGGGCTCGCTCTGGCTGTAGCTGAATTGGGGAAAACAGAGGGCAAAGCATCTCCTGCTTGCAGAGCCAGGATGTGTACACACGGACACACGTCTTCTGGTGGGGAGCTGACAGTGCTCTCTAGAAAAGGCTCTTTGTCATCGTAAGCCATTCCTAAATACCTGCTAATGTATTTTAAACTGTATTTTTTTGGTCACCCTTTGAACAGCCCTATTCTGAACCTTGCCTGGTTCGAGGCTTTATTTCCGTGAAGGGTTGTATGGGCCTTTCTCAGGGGAAAGAAGACAGACCCACATGCTGTATCCCCAAGAAGAGGTGGTATTCACTTTCCACAAAAAAAAAAGATCACGAGCCATGTAGAAATACCTGTTTTTCAGAAATATTTATTAAACTGTTAAAATGGTTTACTGTCCAACCGGGAAAAAAACAAACAAACAAAAAAACCAACCCAAAAAACTTCAGTGATCCTGCACTTTGCAGACAGGACTGTTACGCCCCTTACCTGACAACATCCTGGCCCCCTTTCTAAAAGTAGATTTTACTTGAATATTGAGAAACAATACGTGATGGATCTTCAGACCTTTCCATACTCTTCCCTATGTGCCATCCCTTCCAATGGCACTTGGCGTGTATAAAGTCAGCGCTTCAAACACGAGGATGAGGAGCAAAGTGGTTGATGTGAGCAGGTCAGGAGTAACTAACGAGATTTCTGAGGTAATGGGCTACGGAGATGAGTGGGAGAAGGTTGTACTGCTCAGTGCCGTGTTTGCAGAGCTGACCCGACAATAGCGCGCTGGGCTCTGGCGTACGGGACGAGCTCTACGTGCCCTAGGCCAGGAGACGCCCTTTGTAATACACCAGCTTAGGTGCTGGGGAAACCAGTTCAGTCTGTGTGCTTCTATTATCCCAGTTCATTGCCCTCAGCTGATTTCCAAAGGGATGTGCTTATTCAGGCCGTGCCTCCGCTGCATTCTTGTGTTGCTTCTATCACTGCATCTCTTCTAAATGTGCCAAACGACTGTGAATGATGCGAGGGAGAGGCTCCACGGGCATCGTTCACAACTTACTTTAACTGCCTGGCAGAACTGTAGTGTATTTTTTTTTTCTCCTAATATGGAAGTGAAACAGAGATCTTAGCAACTTCAGTATCATTAAATTAAGACACTCCTCCCCCCATTTAAGAATTGCTTTTCACACAAGGGGGGAAGTGCTGCTGTTTTACGGATACAGCTTTCTGTAAGCATAAAACTTAAGATACGTTACCAAAACGCAACCAGGCAAAGGCATATCTAGTACCAGCAGCAGCGCTGCCGTCGCTATTTCCGATGCAGATGTCGTTCACGTAAGGCCACATTTCCTCCCTGCACTGCCGCGATGCCAGGGAGGCACAGTAAACACTCTCCACCTAGCGCATGCGGCAGGCCCGTGTTCCAAACAGCGCAGTCCCCGGCGGGGGCAGAGCGGCGCCTGGCCCACCGCTGCGAAAACAGCGCCCCGGCGGTTTCATCACGGCTGGGCTGAGCGCCATTTGCTGTCCGTGAGCAGTGAAGAATCCAGAGTCTTGGATCACCCTGCGTTGAAAACAACTGGCCTGCACTGAACCCTCTCGCTGTCGTTCAGGAGTTCTTCACCTTCCTCCTGCATTCAGTACCTGGAGTAGTTGGAGCTTTACTCCAGCCTGAGCGTTGTTTTCCGTTAGCGCTACTCCCGAGAGGAGGCTCTTTACTGAGCCGATGGGGTGAGGTGCCAACAGCAGCTCACAGCCCCTGTGCTAAGCTATAGGTGCAGAAGTTGCCTACGGCCTCGTAGCTCGCTGCTCCTCGCCAGCAGCGCGGACTCTCGAGCACACAGCCGAGCCCCCAGAAACGCCCCAGCACCTCCCTCGCGAGGAGCCGCGGGCGCGCTCGCCCTCTCCCGCCCGGTGAGGTGCCTTTGTGGAGTGCGTGGGGCAGCGGCAGGGTGGGCTGGACGCTGCCGGGGGCTTTGGTGTCGTGGGGTTTGCAAGTACAACCTCAGTCAGACCCAGGGTCTCACAAGCTCAATCGCAAAGCAGAGCTAAAGCCCACCTCCTGGCAGCTCAGCTGGGCTGGGCTTTGGCTGGCAGGGGGGGGCAC